AGGCACCACTGAGCGGAATCCCTGGCCCTGGTGTCAACATTTCTGCTCATCCCACTGTGGCTGTCTTTTAAAGGCCGTGGCCTACATTTGTGTGTCTGGGGTTCCAGGTCAATCCCACGTGGCCAGCCATGAGTCCTAGCTTCTGTGCACATGGGGCTCATCCACAATCCTAGAGATGGCCCCGGTCCATGGCGACTGGCACAACTAAAAGTGACCACATCACCGGGGTGACTCAGCTCTGCCGCTAGGGGGCAGGAGCGCGCCAGCCACCCAGAACCGCCCTTGTGCGGGGGCACAAGACACAAGGGCACACTCAGACGTCCCTGGGGCCAAAGGGGCTCCCCTGGTTTGGGAAGCACGGGGGGGCTGTCCTGGAGCAGCACAGAATCCACATTCTACCCTTCCCCACTGCTCCTCTTCATACAGAAGCTACTACACCAGGTACCCATCAGCCACTGCTTTAGGCCCAGAGGGATGGACAGCATGCCCGGAGCTTGGTCACTCCCCCAGGGTGACACTCTGATCCTGTCCCCATTTCCTGGGGTGAGACACGGCAGCCTCTTGCCGTGAGGCTCCGGGCAGCCTCTATTTCTAGTAAGGGCTCCGTCGCTGGGTCCAAGGACTGGGATGGTGGGATCAGAGTTCACCCTACACCAGCTGAGAGACCCAGGGAAAGCCCAGACCTTTAGGAAGAGGTCGGGGCCAATTTCTTCCCTTTGGGGCTTCCCTCCAAGCTGGAGAAGAGGAACCCAGAGGTAGAAACTCTAACCTTGGAATTTTCATCTGATTACTCATTGATTGAGCCGTCCCAGGTAAGTCTCTTGACCTCTGAGCTTGTTTCTTTACCTGTGAAATGGGAACAAGGATACTTTTCTTCTGTCGGAGCTGGGGGTGGAACCCAGGGCCCTGTGCATGCTAGGCAAGTGCTCTGCCACTGAGCTACACCCCCCTAGCCTCAAGAGCACATTTTAAATCTGGCTTCGCAGAGAAGCCACGAGAGGATACAGGTGGTGTCTCCAGCCAGTGCCGGGACAGCACACCATCAAGGCAGCCAGAGTCACTCTGCATGGTGAATGGTCATTTCTCCACCATCTTTTCTTATCAGCCAGGCTGAGAAGCTACCACCGGGGGGAAACCTAAATAAATCCCCTACCTCCACTGGTTCTCAGTTGTCTCTTACAAATCACGAATTTTGGAAGTCACACGGCTGGGCGACATGTTAGCCTCCTCCTAGCTTTGCGGCAGATGACACCTCCTGACTAAACTGCTCTCAGGGAAGAAGGTTAGCTCTTTCCGTCCGCCCACTTCCGAGAATGCTGCTTTTCTGAACTCCTCCTGTCCTCAGGGAAAGGGAACTTTCTGATACCTTCCTCGGTTCTCTAGGAGAAAGGAATCCATCTGGATCCTAATATTTAACTGCAGAGTTAACTATTCCTGGGGAAAGGAACTCAAAAGACCTGACTCACAAGACTCTCTAATCAGTCACTTTTCCTTAGCTTCACGGAACCCAGAACACCCAGGGACCTACAGGTAACAGAAGGCCCTGCACCAGAAAAACAGACCAGTGAGCCACGAAGAGGGGTTCACGTCACCACTGCCACCCTTGGAGCCAAGGCTGCCCACTTCCGGTTAGTGTCCGGCTCCCTGCTCTTCCTCTCCCGGGGTCCGAGGACACACCTCACAGGCCACACTCACACAGCTGCTGGCCCCGCCCACTGCACCACGGCCCTCCATTTCCCGACTTCCTCACTGACACCTTCCTTCTGGAATATTGATTCGTTATCTCTATCTTGCCCTAGATAACATTTTTTTATGCGAAGGAGAAACCACCCTGGATTCCAGTCCCGTGGCTCTCTGCGTGTCGATGGCGCCTTGTGTGCTGCTGGGCACTGGGTACAAGTGGGCCCAGCGTCTCTGCTTTGTAAGCAGAGCCCGACTATGCAGGCCCTCTCCAGGAAGGAGTTTAACTACTGCCTGTTCTCCTTGTGGCGTAGGACAGGTAAGGCGTCAAGGTGGAGCGCTTACTTCAGGACCCCTGGTGGTGGGCACAGAGGACAGAGATGAAGGCACCCTCTGAGCTCCTCTAGTTCTGCCTTCTCATTTGCAAGATCAGCGGGCTCTGCTGTGCCAAAGGCTCCTGCTGCACCTGCTGCGTGCTCGAGATGCCCACCCTTCACTCAGCCCCGCGACACCCATTTGAAGTCAGTTATGGGTCTCCAGGTGCCTATGTGCAGGGGGCAGGGCAACACTAAGAAGTGGACTATAGGGCGACACTGCCTAGGTCAGAATGTGCCCTCGCTTTCCAGCTCGGTGGCCTTGCGCAGGTTATTTTATTCTCCATACCCGTTTCTGCTTGTGAAATGAGGCCAGCATCTGCCTCCTAGAGTCATGGTGAGACCACACAAATTAGTTCCTGTAAAAGGAAGACACAGCTCCAAGCCACGCGTACAGTATGCGCTGAGTGTCTGCTATTAAAATTATTCCCTGTGCCTCACTGTAGGCCAGGTATGACAGTGGGTGTTTAGTTTTGTTTTTGTTTTTGTTTTTCTTCCTCCATACTGGAGATTGAGACCAGGGCCTTCACACCGAGCTACGTCCCGAGCACCTTATTTTTTTTTAAAAAAATGTGTTTTTTGTTTGTTTGTTTTTTAAATTTTGAGACTGGGTTTTGCTAAATCTCTATGTTGCTCAGGCTGGGCTTGAACTTGTGATCCTCCTGCCTCAGCCTCTCAGACACGTGTCCACCATGCCTGGCTTGGGGGTTCAGTTCTTACTTGCTACGTGGATGAACGAGGCAATCTCAGTATACTGACCAAGGACTCGAAAGTTGCATTACTGTACCTGCCGTTCGCCACAGCCAAGGGTTACATCTCAAAGCTCTCTGATTCATCAGGGAGGCAGGGTTTGCTTCCTGGAAATAGACTTTCTACAGAACACCGCTGTGGCCCAGGTGGTGGCTGTGACTCACATGCGTGTGCCTGCACAGGCCCTGGCTCAGGGTTAACCCTCACAGCACAGGTTACAGGACCAGAGTGCAGAGGGCACATATCAGGGCTCCAGTTAAGGCTCCCCAGGGCCAATACAGAGTCCACACTGAGAGTCACCTGACGTGGGCCTTTGAAACTGTGAAGGAGAATCCTGCCTGACTTGCTTAACCCTTCCCACACCTTAACTGCTTCCCAGGGGAGATAACAGCACACATTCCAGTAGCTGATTCGAAGGTTATATGCTGTGTGATAATTCACAATCTAAGGGGACCAACGAGCAGCCAGGGTGATTATAAAGATCATTGAATGCAAATGATCTGGCCCTGCCTGAGATGGCCAGGGTTGGTGATATCTAGCGACATTTTTGGTTGTTGCAACCAGAAAGCAATGCTGGCATCTAATGGATAGAGGCCAGAGAGGCTGCCAAGCACACTACAGTGCCAGGGCAGCCCCACCACCAAGGACCATCGAGCCCAGACATCAACAGAGCTGAGCTGAGTAAGCCTCACTTTGAGTTATTAGCACAGACCGCCTACCTTCGGCACAGAAAACACATTTTTAAAGTTGTGTGGGCAAAGAGCTTCTCAGGTTGTGACTTGATGATCACTCTCCAAAAATCCCACCCAGCTGCCAATATGGAACCTTTGTGTGACTAAGACCCCCGCGCTGTCTGTAAAAGTCAATGCTCCAGGAGTGCTGAGAAATGCAGCTTTTCGTGTTGATTTCCTGGGCCAATTCCACGACTGCTCACCCAGACTCACACCCAGGGAGAATCCATCCGCAAGGCAGGCTGCTCCCCTGCGCATGCCCCGCCCACCAGGCTCCGCCGGAAGGAGGCCTCTCGGTCGAACCACCCTGCTCCCGACCTAAACTCGTTCTTTAAAGACGACCATTCATCCATTCTGCTGTCCCCGCTCCCTGTCTTCATTCCTTCCTCCCTTCCATCCATTCTCCCTCTCCCCTGTTTCCTTCCCACCCCCAAATACTAAATGCTGACCATGTGTGTCTCCGTGGTGTGGGTGCTGGGAAACAACAGTCAACAAGCCACCCAAGGGCTCTGCCCTCCTGGATCGTGTAAGAACACGGGCAACTGGCTTAGCTAGGACACCGAGCTTCTCTTTAAAGGCCCCTGACTGTGCTCTTTTTTTGTTTTTCTTTTTGTACTGGGGATTGAACCCAGCACCCCTGTACCTTCAAACTGAACTACATCTCCAGCACTCGGCTCCTTGTTGAGACAGGGTCTTGCTCAGTCGGTAGACTGTCAAAGCTGGGCTCTAACTTGTGATCTTTCTGCCTCAGCTTTCCAGAGTTCTGGGATTACAGGTGTGTGCCATCATACCTGGCTCGGACTGTGTTTTTAGAAACAAAGATCTTGTAAGTTAAAAAAATTTTTTTTTTTTTTTTTTTTTTTTTTTTTTTTTTT